AAACACGAAACGCCCCAAAAGGGGACAAAGGAAACGGCCTGGCCACAGCCGCGAGGGAGAAACCGCTCCGAGACAAGCGCTCAGGCTGGGTCTCCATCCACGGTGTGATCTTCTCCTCCCAAAATCCATGGTGTTCTCTTCTTCTCCTCCGAAGATCTTCTCCTCCGAAAATCCATGGTGTTATCTTCTTCTCCTCCAACGATCTTCTCCGAAAATCCACGGTGTTATCTCCTTGTCTGAAAATCCATGGTGTTCTCTTCTTCTCCTCTGAAGATCTTCTTCTCTGAAAATCCCTGGTGTTCTCTTCTTCTCCTCCAAAGATCTTCTTCTCCGAAAAGCCATGGTGTCCTCTTCTCCTCCCCAAATCCCCATTTTCCTATTTTACAGCCTTTCTGCCTTTGAGGTGGAGTTGGAGTGACTGCAGTCACGCGCACCTTTGGTCATGGTCGGTGTCCCATGTCACCCCACGTCACCCGTGTCACCCCGTGGTGTTCCTGGTGTGGCCCATGTCACCTCCTGTCACCATGTGCCATCTTCTGGTGTCCCCTGGTCTGTCCCATGTCACCTTGTGTCATCCCATGCCACCCTTTGATGTCTCCTGGTGTCTCCCCACATGTCCCATGCCACCCCGTGTCATCTCCTGGTGTCTCCTGGTGTGGCCCATGTCACCTCCTGTCACCCCGTGCCATCTCCTGGTGTCCCCTGGGTCGCCCTGTCCCACCCCATGCCACCACGCGGGTGCCACACCGGTGATGCGGGTGCCACAAAGGCCAAACCGTGGCGGGAGGAGGGGTCAACGTGAAACACGGGGTGCCACCTGGGTGACACGGGGTGGTGGAACACCGTGCCACCTGACCAGGGACAGGGGGGTTGGGCTGTCCCTGTCCTCTCCCAGCACCTCATGGCCACCCCCACGGGGACATTCTGCTGGGGTGGGGACCTCTTGGGTCACCCTGTGTCACCCTCCGGTGGTGGGACACAGAGAGGAAGAACCTGAGTGAGATCAGGGAGGACTTGAGAACCCTGGGGAGGTGATGGGGACCCAAGTGGAGAGGACCCAAGTGGAGAGGACCCAAGCAGAGGGGACCCAAATGGAGAGGACGAAAGTGGAGAGGACCCAAGTGGAGAGGACCCAACTGGAGGTGACGGGGAATCAAGTGAAGAGGACCCAAGTGGAGGTGACCAGAGTGGAGGTGACGGGCACCCAAGAGGAGAAGACACAAAAGAAGAGGAACGACGTAGAGGGGACCCAAGTGGAGAAGACCCAACTGGAGGTGATGGGGACCCAAATGGAGAGGACCCAAATGGAGAGGACCCAAGTGGAGAGGACCCAAGTGGAGAGGACCCAAGTGGAGAGGACCCAAGTGGGGGTGACAGGGACCCAACTGGAGAAGACTCAAGTGGAGGTGATGGGGACCCAACTGGAGAGGACCCAAGTGGAGAGGACCCATGAAAAGGGGACCCAAGTGAAGAGGACCAGAGTGGAGAAGACCCAAGTGGAGCAGAGCCAAGTGGAGAGGACCCATGTGGAGGTGACGGGAACCCAAGTGGAGAGGACCCAGGTGGAGAAGACCCAAATGAAGGTGACCCAAGTGGAGAAGACCCAAGTGGAGGTGACGGAGACCCAAGCAACCTTCTCCTCCCTCCTGGCCACCAAGGACAGGGGCATGGTCACACGCAGACGCCTCACGGAGCTCAACCTTCTGGCTTCGTGGTTGGTGGCCTCCCCACGGCAGGTCGTGGATGTTCTACCACGGGACGTTCTTCGAGGAATCCAGACGGCTGAGGTGGGGTGGGATCTACTGGTCTAGAAGATCAAGGAGAAGGTCCGCTGGCTGATGGGGTGGCTCACTCTTCCACCTCGCCGGGGTCCAAAGCTCACCAACACAGAGGGACCTCTTGGAGAGTGAAGCCCCTGGAGATGCCACCTTGGACCAGGGCCATCCCATGGGGACTAAAGCCCTTGGAGCTCCCAGCCTGGAGCTGGAACACCCACGAGGGACCAAAGCCCACGGAGAACTCAGGATGAAGCAGGACCATCACGAAGACCGCGGAGAACTTGTGATGGAGCAGGACCACCCAAGAGCAGGTGCAACCCAACCATGGAGCACCCTTGGGGAAGCAGGGCCACCCCATGGGGACTGAAACCCATGCAGATGCCACCATGGAGCAGCAATAACCCATGGGGATTGAAGCCTCTGGAGATGCTACCTTGGACCACGACCACCCCATGCAGATTGAAACCCCTGGAGACCCCGTGATGGACCAAGGCCACCCTGTGGGGACCGAAGCCCCCAGAGACGCCACCTTGGACCAGGGCCACCCCATGATGACTGGAAGACCCTGGAGATGTCACCTCAGACCAAGGCCACCCTGTGGGGAGCGAAGCTCCTGGAGATGTGACCTTGGAGCAGTGACAACCATGGGGACTGAAGCTCTTGGAGACCCCATGGTGGACCAGGGCCACCGCATGGAGACCGAAACCCTTGAAGATCCCAAGGTGGACCAAGACCATGCCACAGGAACTGAAGCTCCTGGAGATGCCACCTTGGACTTAAGACCACCCTATGAGAACTGAAGCCCTTGGAGATCTCATGGTGGACCTGGACCACCCCACACGGACTGAAGACCTTGGAGATGCCACCTTGGAGCAGAGACACCCAACAGGGACTGGAGCCCATGGAGATACCATGGTGGACCATGGTAACCCACGGTGACTGAAGCCCCTGGAGATCCCAACACGGACCAGGGCCACCCCATGGAGACCGAAACACTTGGAGATCCCATGGTGGACCAAGACCACCCCGTAGGGACTGGAGACCCTGGAGATCCCAGGGTGGACCAGAGCTACCCCACGGAGACCGAAGCCCCTGGAGATGCCACCTTGGAGCAGAGACACCCAACGGAGACAGAAGCCCCTGAAGATCCCATGGTGGCCCATGGCAACCCTACAGGGATTGAAGCCCCTGGAGATGCCACATTGCACCAGGGAGATCCCATGGTAGACCACACCCACCCCAGTGAGACCAAAGCCCTTAAGATGCCACCTTGGAGCTCTTGAAGCCCCCATGTTGGACTACGGCTACTCCATGTGCACCGAAGCCACCGGAGGAGATGCCACCTTGGAGCAGAGACACCCAAGGGGCACTTGAGCCCATAGAGATCCCATGGTGGACCAAGACAACCCCATGGCCATCACATCCCCTGGAGATGCCACCTTGGAGCAGAGACACCCAACAGGGACTGGAACCCATGGAGATACCATGGTGGACCATGGTAACCCATGGTGACTGAAGCCCCTGGAGATCCCAACATGGACCAGGGCCACCCCATGGAGACCGAAACACTTGGAGATCCCATGGTGGACTGAAACCACCCCGTAGGGACTGGAGACCCTGGAGAACCCAGGGTGGACCAGAGCTACCCCACAGAGACCGAAGCCCCTGGAGATGCCACCTTGGAGCTTCTGAAGCCCCCACCCTGGACCACGCCCACCCGATGGGCATCGAAGCCCCTGGAGATGCCACCTTGGAGCTCCTGAAGCCCCCATGGTGGACCAGGCCCACCCTATGGGCATGGAAGCCCCTGGAGATCCCATGGTGGACCAAGACCACGCCATGGAGACTGAAGCTCCTGGACATCCCATGGTGGATGACGTCCACCCCATGGAGACCGAAGGCCCTGGAGATGCCACCTTGGACCAGTGCCACCCCATGGAGACCAAAGCCCCTGGAGATGCCACCTTGGAGTCCTTGAAACGCCCATGGTGAAACAACGCCACTCCATAGAGACCGAAGCCCCTGGAGATGCCACCTTGGAGCTCCTGAGGCCCCCACAATGGACCAGGTCCACCTCATGGCCATGGAAGCCCCTGGAGATGCCACCACGGAGCAGGAACAACCCCCCCCAAGACAAGACCAGGCCGAAGATCCAACCCTGGGGGGGTTCGGGGTGGGGGCGTGGG